ACACACACACAGAGAGAGAGAGAGAGAGAGAGAGAGAGAGAGAGAGAGAGAGAGAGAGAGAGAGAGAGAGAAGTGTGTTCTGGAAGAATCAGGATCCTCCTATGTGTATGTGTTTCAGAGTGGGCTGGTCACATTTCAAGGCCCTGGGCTCATTCCACTTTGGAATAACAGTTGTTTACCTGCACACAATCTTGACAACCTCTAATAACAATGCTGAATGCTTCTAAATACAATGGGATGTTACACACAAACAAATAGGAATGGTCTAGCAATTGTGCTATCATATGGGAAAATTTCAATATAATACCAAGTGGAAAAGCCAAGTGTTTCATTTATACATAATCCTAAGACATACCAACTATAGTGACAAAAGGGAGGTCAACAGCTTCCTCGACATAGGAGGATGTAGAGAATAGCAGGTAGAATAACAAAGAGTATACAGAAATTTGGTGGGGGATTAATGGACTGGCTCATTTTCTTTTTCAGAGCAGTGGGTTACTGAGTGTTTTACAACTGTATGATTTAGATATGTGCGCTGTATTTAAATGTGTATGTTTTTAAATATGTCAACTGTTTCTCAATAAAACTGTTAAATATAACTAAATAAATATAACATTAAAAAATATAAGAACAATGGCCTGCATTGTTCACCACATCATTCCCAAGCTTTGTATGGTTTGCGTCTTTAAAAAAATACTCTAGATGAAGCCATTTATGTTCCTGTGAACCTGCTGTGGTGATATGTTATTTATGATTTATTAAAGCTTGCCTGAGGAGTCAGAAAGCAAAGTCAGCCACAAGCCATAGAAGCCAGGCACACTTCTTTAATCCCAGAAGCCAGAAGCTAGGAAGTGGAGGTACATACCTTTAGTCATAGGACTAAGATTAAGAGGTAAACAGATCTCTGTGAGTCCAAGACGACCCAGATCTACACAAGAAGTATCCAGTCCTAAAGAGAGAAACAGCTCACATAAAGATGATCCCAGCACCTGGGATCACACACCTTTAATCCCAGCATTAGGAAGGTATATAAGACAGGAACTAGGTCTCAGTGTCAGGTATTCATTCTCCAGCCACATTGAGAATAGGAATGCCTCAGCCTTGTTAGAGGTAAGAGCACTTTGGTAGCTTGACTGCTTTGCTTCCCTGATCTTCAGGTTGAACCCCAATATCTGTCTCTGGGTCCATTTATTTTTCATGTTACAACCTGTAATTGAAACACTCAGAAGCTGAAGCAGAAAGATGGTGAGCTCAAGGCCAACCTGGACAACAATGCCAAGCTATCATAAAACATACCAATATGTGACTGTTTTAGTGATGGGGTTGATAAAACACTCATTCCCAGTACTTTTTGGAGAAATGACACAATTCTATTGATTCTTATCTGCGTTTGGCTTCCAGTTCAGAAGTTATCTAAACCCTGGTGACAGTGTGACACTTAGACTTTCCAGTATGCAGTCATTCATATTAGCTCTCATATTCTCCAATATGCTTCTACTCAGGTTCTGTAGCCAAATCCATTGCTGACTTGCTGGTCCAGGTGCCCAGCAACCCCCTACCATTACCATGGCCGAAGACGCAGATATGCGCAATGAGCTGGAAGAGATGCAGAGGAGGGCTGACCAGCTGGCTGATGAGGTAAGGCATAGAGAGGCAGGGGGCAAGCCCAACACTGGAAGGTGGGTGGTTTCAATTCAGATTTTGAGAAAAGAATTCTTCAATGTCTAATTTTTTTTTTAAGGTGAAAAAAGAACTTCCTTTTTCTCTAAGATTCCTGCAGGCTAGACAGGATTGATTATAAGGCGCAAATACAAATTAACATCTCAGCCCTGAGGCAGGACTCCTAGACACTTGGGAGGGCAGGGTCCTCTAGGAAAAACTTTATCTTTAGATACCTAACAGTATGCCATGGTTACCTCAGTAATGAAGGTTACTAAGTGTGGCTATTACTAAAATTGAAGTACATAATTTGAAAATAAATATATATAATTAAAGCAATGGTATTATGAGCTCAAAAGTCATTACTTGTAGCTAGTTTAGCACATTTTTTCTGCTATCTATGCCCTTGAGTCATTTACACTCACTGTATGTAAGAAATGGAAACTGCAGAGTCAGTTTACCACACTGCACTCAGAAACCAAATCAAAAGCAATTATTGAGAACCAGTCATTGGCAAACAATATCAGTTGTGCTTGCTTTATTGTTTGTTGATTACCTATAGTTAAGACAGAAGGGAAAATATTAATAATCTAGATAAAACTTTTTAATTATGTATGTCTGTAGCTATTACATTAAGAAAATAATATACAGAGTTGGGTGGGGAGGGAGGGTTGGATCAGGGAGGAGCTAGGGGTAAGAGTGGAAGAGGTGAATATGATCAAAATTCATTGTAAGGCATTCTCAAACAGTAAAAATGTTTTTGAAATATAAGAAATTTTGAGGAAGTCCTCCATTATTTGGAAACTTATTTTTCAACAAAAACATCACCTTCTTTACTAATGAGACTAATTCTAACATTAAGTCGTCACTGCTTCAGGTTCTTCTTATTCATGAACATGAGTGAAGTTATCCAGTTGCAGTGACCATGTTAGAATTATACTAGTTCATCATATGAGGAGTCATAGATAGACAACACACACACACACACACACAAAAAAAAAAAAAAAAACTGACAGGAGTTTTGGGTGAGAATCAACCTGCTACACAGAACTGCTAACCAAGGATGCTGTGTTGCATCATGTGTCAACTCTGTGCTCTCTGTGTTTCACAGCCTTACAATAGATGCAAAGATACATAAATGTATTTATATTTTTTCCCAGAGTCAGAGCATTTTGCCAACACATCACTGATAATAGCTATTTTATTACAAAAGGGAGTCCACTTTAGGTCCATTGCAGCAAAAATTCACATCCTTCAGGCTCCTGCAGAAACTTGTCCAACATAAATTTGCTATTTGAAAGCATGGTTTTGAGAAATCACACTGGTTGTTGCAGTGGAGCTATGTTAAAGGAACTGAGAACAAAGTGGTGATGCTGTGCCTGAGGGACCAGCTGCCAAGCTCAAAGCTTTCTTCATGCTTTTTTTCTTATCTAAAAATGAAGGTAATTACAGCTGTCTCCTATGGGATAGTTATTGCAAACTTGCTTGATTTTTTTTCACCCTAAGGCGACAGCTTAATTTGTATTGATAACAACTTCCAGTTGTGTTTCAAGGAGTTTTAAAGGAAACTCGTTAAACTCATCTCTCCTCATGAAAACTTATGTTTGTGTTTAAAATTCAATATCCCTAGTTCAGGGAGGCCAAAGTAGTCCTTGAAGTATATGAGATAGTTTTCCAGGCATCCAGAGCATACAAAATGATTTGTCCAGATTGCTTTGCCTTTGATATCAAGATCAGCCTCATATGGTTTTGGTTTTATAAAGATAAGCTTTCATATGATTGCTCTGGGAAATCTGATCATGTAGAAAGAGATTGAAACTGGGAAGACATTTGGTGTTTCTGTTGCAAAGTGTAAGTCATGTGTGATAGGGACCTTTGTGTTTCTCATGTGAAGAAAGCATTTCTGACTTGCCTAGTGCTCTGTTAGTGCCTTTAACAGTGTTTATGTTTTTCCATCTTAGTCCCTGGAAAGCACCCGTCGCATGCTGCAGCTGGTTGAAGAGGTAAGGAGTGGATTCTATTAACATAAACTAGGTCCCTATGTTGACATGTTCATTCCTAGCTCCTATTGTTTTTCCCTAAACCATGGCTCCCTGGCTTCCAATATGAACATAGCGTATCAGAAAATACTGGAGATTTTGGCATGAGTTGTTAGCTAGTTATCAAGGTGACCTCACCACCCTCCAGCCTAGGCTACCTCTGCAGTGCATAGTACAGAGAAACCTACTATTTCTAAGCTCCTGTTCCCAACAGTCACAAAAGTGGGTCCCAGTAAGCAAAGTGGTGCTTAATCTATGAAGGAATTACCTACATAAAAGTCTTCATTTGTAATGATTTTGTTGCAATATATTACAGCTAATCTAAAATTCTTTTCTGACTCCAACTATATTTATAACTTTGAAAAATATGTATTTATGCAAGCATATCATCTTTTGAAATTGTTGTATTTAGTGTCCAGCACGAAAATCTAAGAAAAAATAGCAAAAATCTTAAACAAAGAGAAAAATCTAGTCCAATTAAGTAAATATAAAAGTTCTTTTATGTGACTGACTCTGAATTGCACATCCATTTCTAAAGCATTTGTAATTCATGGTTTAATGAATCCCAAACCATTTTTAAATGGATAAAATAGGGCAGATAGCAATAATGGAATCAAAAAAGCATTTGCAATAAAACCTACTCATTCCAATTTGGTAGAACAGCAGTCAACCAGGAAGAATAAATGGATTAATTGAACTTGCCCATTGGGAGAGATGGAGTTGAAAAAGAATGGGCTGGACTGTATTTATCTTAACCTAATAAAACAAGCCTAATGGTTTTTATTCAGCAAGATGCTGCTTTAGCCACAGTTTCAATGTGACTGCTTATCAATGTATAAATTCATGTGTGATTATCTTTTCTAGAGATCTTGGGCTTTCTCTGGCAGAATGATTAAATGAGCCTATTCACCCACCCTATGCTACTATAAATTGCTTATGCAATGACATGAAAGGGAAAGAAAAAAAGAGATGAATTTTACAAAGACTTAGAGAAAAGCCAGCTGCCTCTTACAGCATTGGAGCAAATGCTGTTTTCCTTTATTCCTGAAGCTGCAGCTCCTCACCTAGGGGTGAAGTGTGGCTAAAGGTGAATGACCACAGGAAGAGTGGGAAGAAGTAATGATTCCTTCACTGAAAAAAAAAGTCTGTTATTTCAAAAATAACAAACTGAGCTTGCATTGCAGCACAAATGGGCCTCCACAGAGAGGCAGGCCTACAGGGCCTCAGCAGCATAGCCAAGCAGCCTTCTACTCTAAATGAAGGGAAGTGTCTGATTTTCTCTGGTCTAGGGACACTACTCATATGGAAATGCTTAAATACCAAGAAGGAGGCAAATAGCCCAATCCAGGAGTGCTGGCCATTTGGCAATAATGTGTTATTTTCCAATGTGTTGCAAGCAAAACACAAAAAGAGCAAGAGCTTGGAACATTTTTACATGAGCTGAGATTAACATGAAGGGAGCTCACTATTTAATGGCTATAATTATTTTATTGTATGCTACATTATTATCACAACATAGTTCATGACCTACAACCAGAGAACTCACTTTTCACTTTCTTATGTAAATACATGTATATATGATTGCGTTCCTCTAGCTCTTTCCAACTTGCTCAGTTGTGCGCTGTTGAAACTTTGCTCAGACTATGGAACACAGTGGAATAAATGCATTGGAATGCACCCCTTTAAACTAGCCCTTTGTCCTTCAAAATCTTGCGAACATGAACCCTTCTCTCTTGCATGTCTTCTCAAAATGAAAGTAGTGTCAGCCTGTCTTGCAAAAAATCTGTTTGCTCTAATTTATTCTAAGAATAAAAGCTCCATTGATTGAAGTAGGATTCTCGAATTATATGTTTTTGTTTCTCCTAAATTGTTTCTCGATCAAGCATGAAGTTGAGTCTCAGATCAAGGAATGAAAGAGATGGGTGAAATCTCTTCCATCTAATAAGTAAGAGGAGGCTGTTAGACATTTCATCCTCAGGAAATTGTGAGCAGGGCATTATTAGAGTAGACTGGATTGCTCTTACTTCCTCCTGGGTCATTGTATATTTATAGTGAAACATTCCTCATGTCTAGGGCATTGGCTATTCAGATTATGTTCTGATTTTCAATCAAAAAGAAAATTTCCTTTAAAGAGAATCAGTATTAAATATTCATCAAGGGCAGAACTTATTTGGAAAATATGAGTTTTGAAATACCAGGATGTTACTCATAACCCCAAAATTCATCAGTGCTACATAATTTGAATTGAACTGAACTTTTATTGAATTCAGTTTCAAAGACAGGAAAGGTTACTAGAATTTGGAAGTCTCCCTAAGGCAAATAGTTCACTTCCCATGAAAGTACAGCTTTACACTATCTCTAATAAACTCCATGGTATAATAGCAGAGGAGCCTGGGGACCTGACTTTTAAAAGAAGTCATCATCAGCATTTCAAGGATGATGTAAAGTTACTCAGAGGTCACTGGGGAAGTTTCAGAAATGCTGAATATCATAGACAAGTACAAAGGTTAGAGACTTGATAGCACTTGGTTCACAGGCTGGAGTTGGGAATGTAATTTGGTGTATATATTTCAGCAGATATTTATGCAGTACCTAATGTTGGAGATAGGAGAGAAGACACAAATGGATTTACTGCAGGGAAACCAACATGTAAATAGCTGCTGAAATTCAAGTCATACCTGCCTTGGTAGCATAAAAGAGAAAAGAATTAAATCTAAAAGGAGAATCATTAAGATGTTCTCCAGGAGAAAATATTTGAGAAGAAAAATGTTAACTCTGCTGATGCTAAATGTAGAAATGAAGTTTGCATACCAATGTCTTGGGCTATGAGGATTGAACCAGAATAGGCCATACTGGTTTAGGGAAGCAGATTTGGAAGCATCGCAGAACCTGCTTGAAATAGTTCCTGAAACACTAGTATTTCATGAATGTCTTAGCATCATATCTCTTCCTATACCAGCTTATCTTTCAAAATGCTTTGGCAATAAAAAGGAAAGAATCATGCAAAAACCACAGATGGAGATGTGAGACTTTCAGTTAAAAATTTTATCAAGTCAAGTTGGCAGTTGTGATGCCCTTCAGAGTTCAAGAGTATGCCTGGGTGTTCAGGCTTTAGGGAAGATGCCTTGGAGTTGGGGAAAGTACCCCAAAAGGACAGCAACAAAACATACTGGCTTAGTCCACTGAGTAAATAAATTCATCAATATGTTTTAAAAATAAAATTAGGAAAATATATTTCACAAAAGCAAGAAATGAAAAGGAGCATTTCCAACTCCTTTTAGATGGGCTATGTCCTCATCTATAAGTCAAACACAAATGAAGAATTGAGCGCGGATAGAACTAGAGCCACTTCCTCTCACTCTCAATCTAGGCATTAAAGCACACGACTCTTCCAGGAATTGGAGAGAGTAATATTCTGTTTCCTTTCCAGTATTTTGCCTATCTCTGACCCTCCATCTTCTAGATCTCATAAGAACACCCAGTTATTTTGATAAAGCCATCAGCAAAATAATGGAACCAAATTTAAGTTCAAACCTTTATCCAGAACCTACCATGTGCCAGCTATTGAGCTTAGAGCCATCATTATCACTATTATAATCAACTATACGTTAGCTAATTTAACACTTATAGCCACATTTTACTACTGCCTTGATTTCCCTCTGTGGTTAAGTGACCTGCTTGAGACACACAGCAGGAAATGGTAGACATAATATTCATGAGCCCTCTTTCAGAGTATGGATTCCTGCATACAGCATTTCAGTTTCATCCTGCCATAACTTTATTTTCCTTTGAGAATTCCACATCAAGCAAATTGATCTGAGGAGAGTAGCCCATTCTAAACATGTTGAGATTCCCTTCAAATCAAATCCAACTTCAGAATGTTTTCTTTTTTGAATCCCGCTCAGTCACCCATGAACTGAACTAGCTTTGAGATGGCTATACTATGTAGAGGTCATTTCATCTGAATTATTACCGTGGGAAGTGTGAGAGCTCTTGCTGCCCTCATATGACCACAGGGTGAGCTGAGGCATAGAACAGTTGAGATTGAAGCAGTAAGACTTCAAAGAGAGACCGAGAATTTAGAATCATTTACTGAATCCAATCCCATTGACCGAGTTGTTTCTCTTTTTTACTCCGATGAATTTTTTTTATTTGAATTAGAAACAAGATTGTTTTACATGTCAATCCCAGTTCCCTCTCCCTCCCATCCTCCCTTACCTCCCCCCCCCCCAACTCAAACCCTACCTATCACATATCCTTTCTGCGCCTGAGGGAGGGTGAGGCCTTCCATAGGGGGTCATCAGAGTCTATCATATCTTTTGGGATAGGGCCCAGGCCCACCCTCGTGTGTCTTGGCTCAGGGAGTATTCCTCTATTTGGAATGGGATCCCGATGTTCACAGCTATGTTAGGGATAAGTACTGAACTACTACATGAGGTCTAGTTGTTTCTAAAGCAGAGAAATACCATTGAGATACAAGCTATCCATTTTTCTATCCCTTATTCTTAATGTCTGGGACAGAGTAGCTATCCAGTACATATTTATTGAATAAGTGAATAAAGAAACATCTAAGCAAGATAATAGGAAATGGAAGGAAAGGGGATAAAAAGAGATGAATCCACCAACCACATCCCCTTACTTTGTTTCTCTGGCTCTACCTTCAATGTGGGAAATGGTGAGACTCTGGAAGAGTCACACAACCTTCTAGCACAACCCAGCTTTTCTGGCTCCCAGGCCAACTCTTTCTGCTTATGTTCTCCCCAATTGGGACAGTGTCAAACACTCTTGCTCCTCCCATCTAATTCAGTTCTAGTTATGCAACATGCAGCACTTAATTAGAAAAATGTAAAATTATACTTGTAGGTCATCATACAAATAAGTGATATTCATTATATGTCATAGAATCCTATGACAATAGATGAGAGTTGGAGTGATAAAAGTCACCCACTTTTCTCCATCTTCTGTCCCCAGCAGAATGGAACAGGATCTTTGAGCAGAAGATGTTCTCTGACATGCTTCTGCACTGTCAGATCCACATGCGTGAATAAGCTACCTGCTTTTCATTATACTGTCTCATAAGCAATGGCTAGCAAGTGTAGAAAAGGGATCATTAAAATGTGGATTTAGGGTAGATGGACGTGCACTCACAATATACTTTAAGAAAGACTTCAACATGCCTTTTGTGGTCAATAATCTCTCTGGTCAGTGTGAGTCCCTCTGTAGCATGCAATAGAGCAGGTTAGATTCCTAGACATGGAAACTCCCAAATCAGATAAGACAGTATCTTCACCTCTTCTTCCCCCACCCATTCCCATTCCCCTCCTCCCAATAACCTAGGTAGCTGTGGTCTGTGTGGATAAAAAGCAATGAGAGGAGGTGTGTTTCTAGAGATTGCTGCAAAAAGGAACTGCAGTGACTACAGAGAGGAGTGATTTTCTCATACTGAATCATTGTACATAAGTGTGGATTTCAGAGCAAAATACTTTCTGATCTCACTCTGTCTCCCAGATCTTGAAGAATTCTTCACAGCTCAAAATCAGAAAGTCAGTTTCCTGTTGAGCTGTGCTTCTCAGCCTCTGGAAAGTCACACTCTTCTGTGATAAACCAAAGCACCAGGACTCCAAGATCCTTATGTATTTCCCAAGGGGCATGTATCTCCCTTATGTATCTTCCCTGGCCCTTAATGGGCACTTTTTGGTTAAACTTGACAGAGAAGAAAAATCAACCAAGAAGACTGTTAAAATGTTGCTTTAATTCTACAGGTATAAAATGATTTATGGTATTAAGTACATCACATTCCAATTCACACTGTATTGAAGGACAAAGGCCCACCTTATGGAGGGGGCACTGCATGTCCCTCCTCATTGCTCTGAGAGTCACTGATAAAGTTCACCCTTTACCCAATTCCTTTGGTCCCTACCTAGCCCCTTATTGCTCTTGTCATGCATCTTCCCTTTGTTTCCCTTTGGTCCGTCTTCATTTTCCATATTTAGGGATAATTGTCTCCTTACTGATTTCTCTTTCTCTTTTCTCTTTCTAACTCCTTTTCAACTTTGCTACCATTATTGGAATGTAGAGTAAAGATGCTGGTATCAGGACTTTGGTTATGTTGGATGAACAAGGAGGTAAGTTCAGATTTCTTCAGTAAGAACAATTCTTCAACTGAATAAAGTTGTAGTGTTTAATTTTTTTGTGCACCCTCAGGTGGCCATTCTGCATGTGTTACATGTGTATGTAAGTGTAAGGGTTCTAGAAAGTTCATCTTGCTAGTTTTCTTTCTCTGTTGAATATATCGAATGTGGGATGTCAAGGCCTTCTTCATGACTTAATTAATGTCTCTGCTATGTACATTGATATAACAGATTTTAAAAGCAAAATCTATGTGTGTTTCTTAAAAGACAATATATTAGGCAGTGTTGACAATTTTCCTATTCTTATACTATCAAACTTTCCCAATAAATTTAGTTTCCTTACAATAATGTCCAAGTTATGGGATGCAGTATATGAGATATGCATTTCTTCTGACCATCCAAATTTAGTGTATGGGAGTTTTGGTTTTCAAGTCACTACAGAGATTCCCTGAAATAACTAAACTTTATTTTTTTCATGGGGTGTCTGGAAAGTAGAAATTTTAACCAATCTTAATATTTGAGCTATTTTAAAAGCATTTTTGGAAAGGCTAGGAGCAACAAAACTCAGAGTCAAGATGTTAGTACATCATCTCTACACACTAAAGTAGAAACTATAAGGGCAATTCCATGTTTTCCTTTGACTCAAAATATTCAGCAATATAGTAATAATGTACATAATTCTAGCCACACATTCTCTACCTGTTTTCATTATAAATAATGAGATGCTTGAACATTTTCATAATTTGTAAAGGTATTAGAAAAAATTATGATTGTGATTTTTTTCCTAGTGGCAAATATAAGAACATAAAACCCATTCCAGCAAGGCTGTGGTAAACTCCAAGCAAAAATTTCAAACTGAGAGGAAAATTGCCATGTTGATAGCCCAGCATAAAGCACTTTTCCCAAAATATAGACAGCCTCTGCATATCATCAAAAGGAAACAATTTTTAAAAAATGGGAATAAGATATAAAGCTTCAGTTTTCAAGTAGACATGAAAAATATTCTCTCAACCATCAGTGATAATAGAATGCCAGTTTTTAGCAAGTTGATACAAAATTTAAAAATTCATAACAAACAATGGATTAGTGTGTTGGGAAAATGGAAACTCCTAATTTACACATGGCTGCTGTGGGCTGATACACATGTTATAAGAAACAATTTGATAATAGTATCTTCAGTTTTGAAGTGTAACTGTGTTTGACCAAAACATCACATTCCTAGGACTTTGTACTGCAATTAATCATTTACAATTATGTGAAGCAAAATGAATATGCCCTACTAGTAGTTGTATAAGACTAGGAATAATTTAAATGTTTGTCAGTGGAGAGATCGACCAAGTCAGCTATGATATGGCCATGAAGAGATGTTCTGCTGTCAACACAGTACTTAAGTGTTTGATGACTTCTGGAGAGTTAAAGTTACAGTAAGAAGAAAAGAGAGAAAGTATTTGAAGTATTTTGAGAAGCAATTAGAAGCATTTGAGATTTATTGGGGAATGCCTATGGAGGATAGATGTAGATAGTAAAAGCCCATGACAGCTCTGTGTGATAGTAAGAGCCTTCAGATGTGATATGAGTCTAACACCTGGAAAGGGAATTAGAAAGAAAAGGAGAACAGAGTGAGAGGAGCCCCGGAACAAAGAGCTGTTCTGAGAAGGTCTCAGCTAGGATAATGGGGTGCCTCAGAGCTATGATTGCCACTCCCAAGTAGAGAAGAGAAGACCATGTTGATCAGGAAGGCCACAAACCTGGCAGTCCCACTATACCTAGATATTAACTTGTAGCATCTTGAGAAAGCATGACCTTAATATGAACACCATGCAACTCATAGATGCAAAGCTACACCCCACTTCTCTGACAGGTTCCTCCCAATGCAAGGGGCTTTTGTTTTTATAATATTTATTCATGTTAAACTTTTTAAAGAATATATATCAAATAATTATAAAATAGGGGAAAAAGGATCATACACCAACCTCATCACTTTTCTTCCACTGATCAAATTAGTTTTTTGAAATCTCTAAAATTTAGAGTCTAGTTGAGTTCTGTTCTAAAGGGTCAGTCTTAAGATTTGCAGTAACTTCTTCCTGGTCTGATCTGTGTAGCAATGTCCCAACTCTGAAATCTGAGGTGCAGCAAGTCATTGCTTGAAAAGTTGTGAAACAGAAGGTACCCATGTAGAAGAGTGACAAACCAGCTTTTTCAGTTAATAGGCAGCAGTGTGGGGAAAGGAGCTTTATCGCAGGGAGATTTGGGATAATGTCTTCTTCCTTCTCCATCAAGACATAAAGACATGACATGGAAAGCAGTAGACAGAGACATGGAGCCTGAGAGGGATAGGCTGGGGATATAGCTCAATTGTAGAGCTACAATGAGGTCCTTGCTTCAGGCCCCAGCAATACAGATGGAAAGAGAGGGAGAGAGGTAGAAAATGAACAGCCTGCTCACCTGAATTGCAAACTTTCCTTGTACTTTGATGAAGAAAATCTAGAGGTGCAATGTGCCAAAATCCCCATACATATGCAAAACTTCATAATTCTTAAGCATTATAATTCCCACAAGCATCTAGATATTATTATCTAAAAACAAAGAACAGATTTTCCCCCCACAGGATAATGAATGTTTTCAGCTGGAACATTTTGGAGTCCTCTGGTAAGCATATTTCCCATGAGAGCTTGTGATACATCAGATGTATAATAAACAGCTCATACTGACAATAAATAAATAAATAAATAAAAATATTACAATTGTAAATCTCCAAAGTGGGTGGCCTGGGGCTTGTCTTAAAGGGTACACATTTCATTTTTACAAGAAACTTAGGAGCTTAGCAAGTGACATATAAGTGTGCCCACTACCATCTTCCTTGCCTCTTAATAAGCATGTTTAATTCTGCTTTTGCAATGTTTACTTGTTGAGATCAGTAACTGCTTTTGATTTCTCTTCAGTTTATGCTGTACTAATTTTGCCTGTGCCTGACATCTAGAGTATTAACTATTTCTGCCTCACAGCTGCTCAAAGAACCACAAGCAACAACCATCCTCCTAGGGAAACATTGCACCTACTGTGGAGGCAGGCCAGACCTCTGTAGGTTGTCCAACTGAACAGTTGCAATGGGACATTCATTATAGGATTCTTGTTTTAGACCCAGGTATCGTGGGACACCAAGGAGCACCAGGCATGACAGACAACTCTGGACACATACAGAGCCCTGAGACTTTTGTTCCCCTTAAAATGATGTCTCCCAGGAAAATCCCCTAATGGCTCTGTATTAACAGGGATAATCTAACTTTTCACTTACTGCCATGTCTTTTATTTCTTTTGTTAGTCTTTTCTGGATTGTTTGTTTTGATGCCTCCATCCAGGCTCTCTGAAAATGTATCTGTGGTGAGCTCTAAATTAAATAGTAAAATCTCTGGCCAGAAAAAAAAAGACAAAATCAAGGCCAACCCAGAGGACCATCCAACCACTTTAAAATTAATGGCACTACAAAGCATCATTTGACAAAATACTGCAACCCCTTGCTAATTCACTCACCAACCTTAATTCAGAATGGTTCAGGCTTTCCAATGTGGTAGCCACTGTGGATATGTGGTTATCTCAATGTTTAAATTAATTTCATAGTGTTCAATAATGTTAAGGAAAGTGGAAATCATATAGTCAGTGTCTTCTAACTGGGTATTAGTATGAAGGCTTGCATAGTAGGTAAAACACTGTGTTTTACTTTAGGACCAGGCCCAAAATTCTAAGGGTCTTATATTCCTCTACTTAGGATAATAGCAGAAAAGATGTCTAAACAAATCCCTAAGAGTCTATCTTCTACTGGTGAACCCATCAGAGACAAATGATCACTCAAATATCATGGCAAACAGAAAAATGCTTCAGTCTGTGCTAACAACATTCAGTGTTGTCTACTAGAAGACTGGAAGATGTTGAAAAATGTTCTCTTCTCAACCTCCAAGAACAAACACAAAAGCTTAGGGATCGGAGCCATAGTCAACCTTGTGCAGTATGTGTGAGACCTTCATAGATGCAGCTCTGCCAGGGAATGAAATGAAGAGATGGAGGTCCTCACAAACTTCCTGTTTGTGTTTCACAGAAATTATTCCAAGGCTACCAAGTCTTAATGTGTCAAACAGGCCCACAAACACAACTCAGCACAGTAAAGTTAATATTGTAGCCCGACCACCTGGAAAGAATAGTTCTAGGTGGGTTTTTTTGTTTGGTTGGTTGGTTTTTTGTTTTTTGTTTTTTTTTTTATCAGATTCAGCCATTAGATTTTTTTCCCTTGCAGTCAAACCTTTGCCAGCAAAGCTGGAAATCCACAGCGGGATGCACCTTTCATGGGTGTGTTCACTTTAATCTTTCAATTACCTAACTCATATGTCCAACACTTCGAGGTCAGTTCACAGACATGCATTACCTCCTAATTCCCAGAGCCACCAGGGATAAGGCTTCCAAAATCTTGTCAGAGTCATGATTTTTGCAAAAACAAAGTATATATTCCTTGCTTTCTAACTGAAGAGAAATGCATCAGGAATGTGCATTGCTGCCAGTGTTTGTGCCCTGTGGTGAATTTGCCCTTTGAGCCCAGGTACCTCCTTAAATTCATCCTAACACAGCACTCTTTATGCTATCAGCAATTCTTTGATTTGAACCAACATCCTTCTTTCTATCTGTATGCATGATGGTTCTTCATTTAATGACACGTTGATAAAAGCATGAACCGTGTCAACCAAGACATATAGGACATATAGGAGGCCAAGAAAAAATTTAAAGGTTTCAATAAAACACTGTGTCCTTTCCATTCCACCCTAGTCCTCTCACTCAGGTATTACATTTGATTCACCAACTGGTTTATTACGTTCTTAAAAGGAAACTGGAGTTAGGTCATTAGTTTAAAAAAAAATCAAGCTTGGCATGGTTGTTCTTACAATCGTGGACTTAGGATGCTGGGATCCATAGGAAAATCCTGTGTCAAAAAGTCAAACAAGCCAGGAAGAGAAGAAGGCAGCAGAATGGAAAGTTCCCTCAAATATGAGGAAGACGGGAGGAAAGTCTTCTTGCATGTAAAGATTTCCAGGACATTCCTGTCTCTGTGCACTCAACAGAAGAATGGCACCACTGTCTCTCCATGCTGAATAAACACTGCAGTGTTTCTATCAGTTTCTGAAAAACATAGCAGAAGCAGCAGAGACCTAATCAGTGACCATTTCTTCTTTAGTCCTGCCAAAGAGAGCAAACATAATCTTTTATTATCCAGATTTGTGCTTTCCCTACTTGAGTCACTGGTGAGCCTCGTTTAGATCTTACAGTGACAGTTTTCACATCATACACTTATGTGAAATGGTTTTCAGGTGATTGTGTAGGCCTTTAGGCTAGAAATGTGCTCATGAGTTTTACCCTAGGCATGTATGCCTTTACTTCTAGAGGCACAATCATCAATGCATGCATGAAAATACAGACAAAAGGAGGAGCAGGATGTAACTGGGCATTATAATTAGACAGCCAAGACATCATATTACACTTCTCCTTTAATGGTCTTAAAAGCTACTTGACAAATCCCCTTCATTAAACTTGCAGTTACCCTAACTTGATGACACATTTGAGAAATTAGTCAATTTGGTTTATGTAACCCTGGCAACCAAGAACTGATTCATTTTTATGAGTATCGAGCTGTGTTTCAGATGCACTAAACTCATCTTTCCTTGTAGCAATGGCTCAGTGCCATTCTGTGTGCCAATTCACTGCCCCTCCTCCAAAGAGACACACGTTCTCCTTGTTCAATGACCAGGTTAGTAGTTGGCAGGTCCACACCGTAGACACTAGGCAGCCAGAGCAGAAGAATAAAATGTCTTTCCCAGCTTTTGCAGCAAGTCACTCACAGGGTAAGAAATGAATTGAAATGTTTTGGTACTTACAGTATTGTTGTTCTGATGTTGCCTTCTTTTCCAGCCTCTATGAATTAAATAAGGAAAACCAAGAACACACCTTTGGCTACTTCTAGCTGTACAGCCACTGCCGAGGGAAGAGCAGAAACTCATAACCATGTCTATTCCTGCTTACGGTTCTGTTGTTTGCCACCAAGAAGAAAACACACTCTATTTTCTCCTTTTATCTGGTTGGGGGCACATAACAGTCAAAAGATACAGATATTTTGAAATTGGAGCAGATAATCTTTCTCAAAGTGTTGAATGGGAGCACCTTAGCTATAAATTAACACCCTGTTTTTCTTTCTCTTGGGTTTCACTGGTGTCTTAGTCAATACACTGCAACTTCCCTGGATATACAAAATCAAACAGACTTTCTGATCTCATCCCATCATGTCTGAACTGCAAACTATTTTGAGCATTGTTCTTGTTCATTTCCTTCCACCCATGTCTATTTAGGGCAGCAGCAGCCGTCTACAGCAATGCATCCTCTTGGGCAATGCATTGTAATCTCAATCTCTCTCTCTCTCTCTCTCTCTCTCTCTCTCTGTCTCTCTCTCTCCTTCTCCCCCTCTCTCCCTCTCTCTCTTTCTCTCTAATTCTGTTTCACATAGTCATTTCTCATGTTCTGTTGGAAACCCCAAAAAAATTCATTCCACACTATCATCCCTTTGTCCTAACCAGAACAACTCGATCGTGTCGAAGAAGGCATGAACCATATCAACCAAGACATGAAGGAGGCTGAGAAAAATTTAAAAGATTTAGGGAAATGCTGTGGCCTTTTCATATGTCCTTGTAACAAGTAGGTACTGGGTACCAGCTCTAATCTGTGGCGTCCAGTTTTCTTTCTTTCTTTCTTTTTCTTTTCTTTTTTGTTTTTCTTTTTAATGTCAAAGTGAATGTCTGAAGTTTTGTCTTTTTTTTCTTTGTCCTTTTCCATCTGCTTCATTCTGTGGGGATAAAATACTTGTGTTTAATCAGAACAACTGGAACGCATTGAGGAAGGGATGGACCAAATCAATAAGGACATGAAAGAAGCAGAAAAGAATTTGACGGACCTAGGAAAATTCTGCGGGCTTTGTGTGTGTCCCTGTAACAAGTAGGTGCTGCCTGCCTGCCTGAAGCTTTGGTTTTCCCAAGGCTCATCTCCAAGCCTTGACTAGCTCATTCCTGCAGGCTCATAGGCAGGATGAGCATGTGGCATGCAGAACAGATCAATACCGTCTCCAATGCATTCATCTCATAGCATAGATAATACTAGTGGGAATTACTGTTGATGCATTAAAAATCAGGCATACTACAGTGGAAGCCTCACTGTCGGCAATTTTTATTGATGAACGTTTCAACATTTTCCAGAAAGTGTACTTTGAGACAGAGGCACTTGGGGCACATTGTTTTCCTCAATCCCACAATGAAAATTGTAGATTTAGACAAGTCTTTTGGTAAGTGTGGAGGATTAGAAATGCATGTATCAAGGTTTCATTTTTTTTCCTTTCTCGGAAGTAAAAGAGACAGGCTAATTTGGCCCAGGTAAGCCTCTGCAAGTCAGAGCATGTGGCAGATTCCCTCTTGACTGCTCACCAGCTTCAGCACTTGGTCACGAGGTGCTATAGCCTCACCCAGTGCAAAGGCATCCTCATCTGTAAGAAGCAGCAGTCCCATCCTAAATTGGACCCATCTCCTCTAACTCTTCCTCTTGGAAGATCTGCCCGTACACTGGCTGAAATGTTGAAATGTGTAGATTTTGCATGCACGACATCTCCAAACATTTAACTGTTCTCAAGGTTCTGCAACGCTTTTTTGGAATGTAGCAGAAATGTGACATGTGGTTACAAAGATTTGCAACAGAAAGAACCCAAAAACTCAAGGGTTCTAGAAGATAGTCTCATTTGGCTGGCTAGCAGTGGGGGGAAAATGCATGAGTGGATTGCCCAACATGCATTTGGAAAATTAAACTCATTACCTGATCTCCCTCACCCTTCCCCCTTTCCCTTTTAAAAGAAGCCTTTTACCCAAAAGCTCTCCTGATCCTAGCTTTTAGAATAGAAATTGATGTCATTTTGAGTAGATTATGTGACCATTCACATCCTTTAAACTTTGAGGCTGATTTGAAATATCCCACTTCCTGTTTAGGAGGGGGAGGGGCTCATGGTACTAATAAATAAAAACCAAGTTAAAAAAATCAAAAAGAGTGCTCTACGGTAAAGCCTGGCTAACTGGAATCCAGCTAACTGGAACCCTCAGCTGCAAAACACTTTTGCCCCCTTTCCGTTTTTAGCCAAAGAAAAGTGGGACCAGGGAAGGGAGGGCAGTCAGAGCAGGTTTGAAATGTCTTGTTTTCCAGGACATCTAGCTCATTTGCAGTGTCTCAAGCAGTCTCTATTCTACTATCTCTACCTATGGAGAAATAAATAAGTGGTAAATTAGAGCTGGTTTGAAAAGGCCATCAGATATATCAATATAAGGCATAACTGTAGGAGGACTGGATTGTGCCCATACCCAAAGACTCTGAACAGAAAATTTGCTTAAGAATTTGAGAAAGATATTTACTAGTTACCCTTGAAACATAATTTTCCTCCAGAGTCTACTGTTCACTGGTAAAACCATAAAATTCTCCAAACTCTCACTCATGGGCAAGCATTCCAGTTAGTCAAGATTTGACTGTAAGCCCTTTTCAGAGCCAACTTACCCCACATTTGGAGCAAATGGCAACAGATGCACCTCCCACCCCCTCCATCAATTGTGTGTGAAGAAAGGGTGAAGGCAGGGCTCCTTGAGGTGGATCCTCAGGTTCTGAAGAAGTATGACCCCTACTAAATCCATGTATAAGTGGTCCCCAATTCCTTAATTCTAAAGAGACCCTAATTGAGCTTCAAAGCTTGAGTGAAGTGTTCCCTGATGTGTGTAAATAATGCTTTAAAAACCATGTGTCACAACGCAGTGGCTGGTGGTGCCCTGGACTCTCCGGGGGCTTTGCCCTGTCTCGGCATGTTTCGAAGGACTATGGTAGATGTACGGCCGTGATGTGAGTGTGTGCAGCGTTGTGGGTGCAGTGGTTTGCCTTCTCTTTGGAAACGCATATTTCCCTTTCCTTTGACTTTGCCAAAGATGGTATACCAGACATTTTACATAGCAGAAAACATCACAAAGTCCAAACAGCTTCTTATAACCAAAAAGAGAGAGAATGGGGAGGTGGGGTGGAGAGACCAACTCTCTTAACTATGAAAATTTGTGTTCTGGCCTTGTACCATTCATGGAGTGGGCCCATGCCCTGTGATGCAGTAAGTTGTGACAGTAAATTGTGGGAGCTGTTGAAATTCATTGGTGCATTTCCCAGTTTGTCACCATGGTTTCCTTGTCTCAGTCTACAAGGATTAAAGCCAGTTTAAAAGATGGCTTTGGCCCTCTAGTGAGAGAAAGAAGCGGGGGAAGGGATTAAATCTTGGTGTCTTAGAATAAAAACTGTGAAATGGAACCAAAGGATGTATGTTGTTCTTGGACTCAATAGCATGTGGTTTCTACTATGCAAAGAACCTAGAAACATCTTTGATTGCCTTAAATTACAACATACCCACCAAAATATGCTCTATATGTTTCTATTGGGCACAACAGGTATGCCTGGATTTTAAGTTTTGTTCCAAGGCAGGTCAGTGAAATGTAGCCCATGGAGACCACACTAGTTCCAAACCACTCTCCTCTGTCATAACCCAGGATAGTTTAAAGTAGGAATCTGTATGCACACCACCCTGCCCTTTGGCCCAACCAAGAAGCTAATGAACTGCGTTTCAAATCGTCACGAAGGCTATTACTGTCCTGCTAGTGCCTATTTCGAGAATGGTCAACTTCTGGAGTAGTTTGGCTTAAATGAGAATGCTTCACTTTCTACTCATGCCTGTAGCTGGTGCATGAAGAAGACACAGGGTGGTGGGGGTTCTCTTTGATGCTAGATGGCTTGTTCTCTCTTCTATTTTCCTGCATTCATTTCACTATGCTTCTTTTACTTTTTGTCTCTGTGGACAAAGGTTTGTACATCAACCCTGGATGTATGGTGACTGTTTGGAAGTACCGATATATTATCAATTTCAAACCACCGTAGAGGCAACCCAAAGACCATCACCCTTGGCCAACCACCGATCCTCTGTGTCTTACATGAAGCATTGGGGATGCAGATCACATAGTCATTGGGGGAAATATATTAAGCGGAGATCGTTGCATGACAATGTGTTAAAAACTTGGTCAAGTATGTTTTTCATAATGATTCTGTGTTACTGTGGTGTGATGTACACCCTCTACTTGGCAGTCTTGTTTTGTGTCTGTCTGCCAGTATGTTTTTCTGTGTTTTGTGTCTCAAAATATAACCATGTCACTGAAATAGAACTGAATGTTCTCCAGCTTATCTTAAGTCCAATTAAACCACAAAACAAACCAAAGATTAGTCTTGACCATTGCAATTGGCTCAATTGAAAATAAAATGCTGAATAGCTGAGGCGTGGTGGTGGCCAACTGTTTGGGTCCAGATTATGATATATCGGTATTCTCTATTGCCTCAATTTAAAACTCATTTGCTTGGTTCGGTTCTTCGCTTAAAGAATTGGTAATTTCTGTGAGCTTGCTGCTCCACCCTGTGCTTTGTCACTCACCCAATTTTTTGCATAGGCTTAAATCCAGTGATGCTTACAAAAAAGCCTGGGGCAATAATCAGGATGGAGTAGTGGCCAGCCAGCCTGCTCGTGTGGTGGATGAACGAGAGCAGATGGCCATCAGTGGTGGCTTCATCCGCAGGTGAGTTTCTTGGAGTTCTGTTGGTGGATAACCAGCACTAAATTATTTTATCTTCTTCTGCAAAGAATTTTTGGACTCCCGCATGAAGCTAGGACTGGATTCGTGACAGCCTCACTGACTTACCTGGTTTTTGGCTGGTCTACCACTACAGGCAACTTCCATCCACCTCCATGAGGTCTTCCAACAAAGAGTTTAGACTTCTTCATGGTGATGATAGTGTGTCAAAGAGACAAGACCAAGGCACAATGTCCTTCCAAACTGTGGTTTGGGGGCTATTTGACAGAGTGTCTCTAGACAAACCAAATCCCTCGACCACACCCAGAATCAGAGTGGTTGTGGAAAGGCGTTGCACGATATGTTTTATTTTAGCTAAGCTTATTAAACACTGTTACTGGGGCGTGTTAAGCAGCATGAGTGATTTATAGTCTAGTAGTAGCAGGAAGCTGTTACCTCTCAGTCCTCAGGAGATAGGAGCAAGAACTGTTACCAGAACCCAAAAATTATGACTAAAAAAGGGTATTATGGTAGTGAAATTCAGTCATAGCCACAGTTGGCTAGAATGAGAAAGAGTAGGAAATGCCCCAAGTCCTGCTTCTCTTGTCCTCTAATCTCCCTCAGGCCATTATCCAAAGCCCACTGGGAGTCAGAGCAAATGAAAAGCCAGTTGTATAATAATGAAGATGAGCTTCTTAGGGCACAGAACAGGGAAGGTCAAAGAACTGATCTGTGTGAAAAAAAAAGAAAAAGAAAAAATTGAGATGTGCACTAACCACTTCTTTTGAGATCTAGAAGTGAAGACCGATTTAAATATCTGTTTTTAAAGCCTTAAGTTATATAAGTCAGCCAATACCTTGCCTCCGAGGAAACCACCAGGCAGAAAAACAGCCAAATATTTCCAATGAAAAGGGAAAGATTATAGTCCTTATATTTTTGGACTCCCATCCAACCTATCATCCCTTTGTCTTAACCCCAACAACTTAGTTTTGTCAAAGAAAGCATAAGCAATATCAATTAAGACATATTTAGACTAGTAGAGCAGTGGTTCTCAACTTGTGGGTAGCAACTCCTTTGGCAAACCTCTGTCTCCAAGAATATTTACATTATGATTCCTAACAGTAGCAAAATTACAGTTATGAAATAACAATGAAAAATGATGTTATGGTTGTGGGGTCACCACAGCATGAAGAAATGCATTAAAGGGTTGCAGCATTAGGAAGGTTGAGAACCACTGATGTAGACTGTTATACGGGGACTCAGCGTAGGTAAGAATATATGTCTTCATGACTATCTACCCCCAAATCATTGTAGTTGTGGGCCAACCAATACTGCTGTGATTCATATAGTGTAGGGTCTAGATCTGCACCTGTGGCTTTACAGATAACCATCTATTTCTGCCTCTAAATGATTTTCAAGCCAGTGCCTGTATTAGTATCAATGAGGAGGATACAGAGGAAAGAAAGGGAGAAAGCAGGGAGAAAGGGATGGAGAAAAGATGGAGGGACTATTGTCTATACTCAGTATACAGCAAATGAATCCAAACCTCTTGACAATGACACAAGCATCTATGATTTGTAAAGCTTGGGTGATTCCACCTTGTGTTAGGACTGGAAAGAATTGCACTACAGGAATGTGTTCATTGTTGATGATCCTTCAAATGAAATGTAAATGATAGGAAGTTCTCTCTTAATTTTTAAATTTTCTCTGGCTCGGGTCAATATATATTTTAGTGGAGCCAGGCATAGTGGCATAGAAATCCTAGCATTCAGGAGGCCCGAGTGCTCAAGGTCAGCTTGGGCTGTGCATGGAGACAAGGTTTCAAGCAAAACAAAATGAACAAAAGAACAAAGTCATAATAGGCCAGTGTGCTTTGGAAGTTGCCATGGGAAAGGGAATTTAACCCTCCCTTAGTTCATCACTGTAAATAGTAGGAGGATTCTGTAATTAGTGCCTTCTTAACCTTCATGTTGACCCCGGGAAATGTGGTGAAGTGCTTTGTGAGCCAGCTCCTGCCTTCCTATTCCTACCCATTCAACAGAAACCACCAGATACACATTTCTGTGCTCTAAAAGCACCAGTTCCAATTCCCCTACCAAACCTATGATGTCAACATATGCATATATTAAGAATCACCCCCAAAAGTGGTTCCCTTCGAATCTCTTCATAGTTCTCAGGATTCAGAGGCAAACAGGTTGCCACTGATGTTCACACTGAAGCACACCCCAAGGAGACAAAGTGATGAGCACTAAGATTCTCTATGTCACTCTCTTCTTTCACCTTGGAGATTTATGTGTCAGAAAAAAGAAAATAGCCTTTATATAATTCTGCCTCTATCTCCTGACCTGAAGTGCCTCAGAATAAATGATTTTATCTTCATAAAAATAAAATTAAGGTATTGGGTGGCTCAGATGTTGCTCTGTGGATTAAATGCTTGCCGCTCCAGCTCCAGTGAGTTCAGATGCCCAGAAGCCATGTGAAAACCAGGTGTGGCGGTACAAATCTAACATTCTAGTGTACCTGTGGTGACATGGGAAGTGGGCAGAAGTCCCAAAAGCTCATCCATGACATGCATGGTGATGAGCAAGATGCTCTAGTAGACATGTTAGAAAGTGAGGCTTACACCTCAGGCTGTCCTCTGATGTTTACATGGGTACCATGGCACATACCAGGACTCACATATGAACACACACATACAGATCACACACATACACACACCAAACACACATTAAAAATAAGTAAAAGAGTCTGGGTGATGGTGGCTCATGCCTTTTATCCCAGTACTCAAGGCAGAGTAAGGCAGATCTCTGAGTTTGAGGCCAGCCTGGTCTACAGAGCAAGTTCTAGAACATCCAAGGATACACAGAGAAACTCTGTCTCAAAAAAAAAAAAAAAACAAAAAGCAAATAAATAAATAAAACAATAACTAAAATAAACATGGACGAATGAGGAAAGGATGTAGTTTTAGAAATCATAAAAATAAATAAATTGATGTGTTTCATTTAGTAAATATGCTTTCTTTAGAACTGTAAAAATCAAAGCAGCTGTAGAGGTGCATACCTGCAAGACTCATACTGGGCAGGATGAGGAGGGTGAATCAAGATTTCTACCAGCCTTGGCTTCATAGCCAAACCTTATCAGAGACAGATACAGAGAAAGAATCCAAGGCTCCAAAATACAGTTTTTGCATAAGCATGCAAGTACTCTACTATTAAGCCACACCTTGAGCTCAAAACTCCAATTTTAAAATTACATTCGAAACAGACAGATGTTAAGGTGTGTTGGTATATTGAATAAGAATAAGGTAGATCAGATCCCTAGATGTCTGTGGACTTTCCACAAGCTCTACTCCTTAATACTAACTTTTTTCTCACTCTGACTTCCAAAATTGCTTTGGCTCCCAGGGTAACAAATGATGCCCGGGAAAATGAAATGGATGAGAACCTGGAGCAGGTGAGCGGCATCATTGGCAACCTCCGTCATATGGCCCTAGACATGGGCAATGAAATCGATACCCAGAATCGCCAGATCGACAGGATCATGGAGAAGGTGAGCCCACAACTATAAGTTTGGGTGGTGACTAGTGGTTGCCACTAGGAAGGGAACACTACATCCAGGCACACTAGTTGCTGGATATTTTGCACTTAATATTTGCATGGGATTCAGCAACTGAACTGGCATGAAAATTAGAATCTAATTGAGATTTTCATTTGTTGCAGTGCTGGGGATTGAGCACAGGCCTTGGATATGATAGAAAACTGTTCCACCAATGAGCTATACCTTTTGCCCCAGAGCATACAATTAAATGTAGTCAGTATTTTTCTAAATCTCTCCCATTCCAAGCATGTGCCAGGCACTTAGAACACATGAAAATGATATACTCCCCACTGCCAAGAAAGTCGTATCAGGACACTAAAACCAAGAAACCGCTCACCATACAAATCAGACATCAATTCTCTTTCCTTGCAATTTTCTTATCCCCAATAGTACTATGTTGAATATTAATTATAATCTTTTAAACTGTACAAATACCAATAGGGGGAGATGGGTGCATTAAGTGTTTAATAATGATTTTATGTAATTTCTGTCTAGCAACTCTTATGCTGTGTTCATTCTCTGTGAAACACTGAAGTTCTTAATCAGAGATCTTGAATCTTTATATCTTTTTCATTGCCAGGAACAAAGTGGGTTAATTTTTAGATCTTTTAAGTCACAAAGCTACATAGTAGTTTCTTTGTCCCCAAAGCATCCTTCAGTGCCTTGAAGGGATGACTAGAAAATATTAAACAATACATAGTAATAAATAATATCTGACCACATAATATTTTGCCTGACCAGTATTGAGCTACATAAATGTCAGAGCTGGCTGGCAAAATGCTTGTGCTTTGCTTTTATCTCCAAGTTACAACGTACTTGTCAAGGCTAAGCAGCTTTTGCTATGATAAAGCTTTTAATGCTGTGGGAGCCAATGGGTTTTAGAATCATATTGAAAGGTTCAAAAAGGAGCCAATGCCGCCAGACATAAGCCATTATAGCCCCCAAAGAAAAAATGAACAAAGAAATAATTGCTGAGCTGTTTTGCAGAAGGAAAACAATCTGAGGAAACAGGAAGTGCTTATTTTCAATCAGTCGGCCAAATGGACTCAAAAGCAAGCAGATAACAAAGACAGGCTGGGTTCAACATAACAGGGTCAACCTTTGAAATACTGGAACTTGAAAAAACAAGAAATATTTATTGCTCCTAAAAAGTCAGCAAAATTCATGATTCTGTTACCTCTACAGGTGTAGTTCTCTAGTATGGCAAGTACCTTTGGTATTAACCTGTGCTTTACAGATAAAGGCATGCATAGGGATAAATGTTTAGGGAAAAGCCAGGCAACTTAATGGGAAATAGCTGCTCTGGTTTCCATCAACCCTAGACTGCTGAGTCACTGAGGTAGAGGGAAGGGGTATAACTGCCTTTTAATAATTACTTTAGCCTGGTCCACATTTGAAATAGAAATTCCACCTTTTTTCCCCTAAAATCATAATGTGGACACAATTTAAACAGAGCTGCAATATTATTAGCAGATTCTCCCCCTTCTCAAGGAAGCGTTGGTCTCTGATAATTGTATTCAAAAGTCTCTGCATGTATAGGATTGAGTTAACACCACACAGTAGATAAAGCAAAGAGAAGTCTCTTCTCTCTTGACCCCATCCCTGATCTTCACCCCACTTCCACTGTCATGATCTCTTCTCATCAACATTTGGATTGATACTGAAGTCTAGGGAATTCAAAACATTAACAGTTTTCATATATTCTTGTAGGTTTTTAAGAAATTGCTTTGCGTTTTTGCTTATGG